TTAAATATGCATGTGTAGATGTGATTGCCAGGACCTATCATGGTAGTGCATCACTCCAGGACTTCCCGGAGTGTAACAGAAATACTGATTAAAGCCGGGAAGGTAGTGGTGGTGGAATCGGGTTTAACGTCGTGCTTGAGAATATTTCGCTCATATGACGACGTGCATGCGTGTGTATGTGTATGTGCGGCTTCTTGTACTAGCCCAGACTGAAGCTGGTTTTATAGTGCTAGCCCACTGAAATACCATGCCGCAGTGAAGCATGAATACCCCACTCAGACACATTATACTGACTCCGAGCCGACCAGTCCTTGTTGTACCCATGAATGCCGAGCGCCCGGCAGGGACCAACAAGTACCATATTTTAACGTATTTTGGTATGAGCAGTCGGGGATCGAAACCGCGACCTTCCGCACTCCGGGCGGACGTTCTAACCACTACACCACGGAGGCGGTCAAAGCCTGGAAGGTGTTTACAAGGCTGTAATAAATAATTGCTGGGCATTAAGGAGGCAATAGGTGTCACAGATGTTGTCTGATATAAAGATGTATTGGCCGTTATACGCATTAAGGAAGCAATAGTTGTCACAGTTGTCTGGTATAAAGATGTATTGGCCGTTATACGCATTAAGGAAGCAATAGTTGTCACAGTTGTCTGGTATAAAGATGTATTGGCCGTTATACGCATTAAGGAAGCAATAGTTGTCAAGCAATAGTTGTCATAAAGATGTGATTGGCCGTTAGCATTAAAGGAAGCAATAGTTGTCTTGGGTATAAAGATGTATTGGCCGTTATACGCATTAAGGAAGCAATAGTTGTCAAGCAATAAGGAGTAGTTGTCACAGTTGTCTGGTATAAAGATGTATTGGCCGTTATACGCATTAAGGAAGCAATAGTTGTCACAGTTGTCTGGTATAAAGATGTATTGGCCGTTATACGCATTAAGGAAGCAATAGTACAGTTATTGTCACAGATGTATGTCTGCATTAAGTATAAAGATGTATTGGCCGTTATACGCATTAAGGAAGCAATAGTTTTCACAGTTATCTGGTATAAAGATGTATTGGCCATTATACGCATTAAGGATGCAATAGGTGTTGCAGATTATGTCTGATATAAGGATGTGTTGGCCGTTATACGCATTAAGGAAGCAATAGTTGTCACAGTTATCTGGTATAAAGATGTATTGGCCGTTATACGCATTAAGGAAGCAATAGTTGTCACAGTTATCTGGTATAAAGATGTATTGGCCATTATACGCATTAAGGAAGCAATAGTTGTCACAGTTATCTGGTATAAAGATGTATTGGCCATTATACGCATTAAGGAAGCAATAGTTGTCACAGTTATCTGGTATAAAGATGTATTGGCCGTTATACGCATTAAGGAAGCAATAGTTGTCACAGTTATCTGGTATAAAGATGTATTGGCCATTATACGCATTAAGGAAGCAATAGGTGTTGCAGATTATGTCTGATATAAAGATGTGTTGGCCGTTATATGCATTAAAGAGGTATATGGTGTAACAGATGATGTCTGATATAAAGATGTATTGGGCGTTGTGCGCATCAAGGAGGCAATAGGTGTCACAGATTATGTCCTATGGAGAGCAGTGCTGGCCATTAGGGTGTGCTTTGTTTAAAAGCCAACAAAAAAATCTGCTTACAGCCTGTTCCCTGGTTGTCATCAGAAATGACGGAAAGGGTAATGTGCGTTTGTTGTTTAAAGCTTCAGCGGCTCAGACATGATCTGGAACCTTTATCAAAGTGATAACAGCCACTAATGAATGACGAATTAGGATTCGAACAAATCCCAAGCAACAAATGCTTGTCATAACAGGCGACGAGTGAATATTTACATAAAGCTCCATACAGCTGGACTGTTGCGGAGTTTAGCGTTACAAACGAGCAATCACTGGATTGCCTGCACTTGACTCGAATATTTAAATATTCCCTTCTGGACCAGGCTATCCAGTGACTGACATCATGAGCATTTATGTTCGCAACTTGGATTCGATGACATGCATGAACCCACTCCCGATACTATTAGACACCGGTGGAAATATCAACTAAATATCTATTATGACAATCACGAGTTCCTGATGAATAATACTAGCCAAGATCTTCATGGTCAGTTGGGTAGGTACTGGCTTATCTGCATGCACTGTTACTACGCTAGTTCAGTGAGTTTAGTTTTACGCCGCACTCAGCAATATTCCAGCTATATGGCGGCGGTCTGTAAATAATCGAGTCTGGACCAGACAATCCAGTGATCAACAGCATGAGCATCGACCCACGCATTTGGTATACGATGACACGCGTCAGCCAAGTCAGCAAGCCTGACCACCCGATCCCGTTAGTCGCCTCTTACGACAAGCATGGGTTACTGAAGATCAATATCTTTAACTGTTGCTTAGTGACAATGCTGTTCAGCTATAACCTTTTGGTAAGAGGGTGAAAGTGAGCATAGTTTCATACACAGATTTTAGCAAAATCTTACTAATACCAGGGAATCACGCATACCCATGTGGGGAATCAAACCGGGTCTTCTGTATGATGAGCAAACGATTTAACCACTACCAATACCAGCGCTATCCTACAGTCCCTTTGATGAGCAAACGATTTAACCAGTAAGACGTACAGCATGCATATAATTTATTGCTAATGTACGTATTGGTTATAGCTCAAGCCCACGGAGAACCGGTGCTGCAGTTTAACACTAAGATGTTATGTGTCAACAAGTCCTTGTTTTATTCACTTAGACCCGTGAAGATCCGGGTTAGAATTGATCTTCAGTGAGGTGAGGTGAGTTGAAATTGGGTTTAACTTCGTGCTTGAGAATATTTCACTCTTATGACGACGTGCATGCGTGTGTATGTGTATGTGTGGCTGCTTGTACTAGCCCAGACTTAAGCTGGTTTTATAGTGCTAGCTCACTGAGATACCATGCCCCGTGAAGCATGAATACCCCACTCAGACACAGTATACTGACTCCGAGCCGACCAGTCCTTGTACCCATTAATGCCGAGCGCCAGGCAGGGACCAACAAGTACCATATTTTAACGTCTTTTGGTATGACGTGGTCGGGGATCGAGCCCGCCACCTTCCGCTCTCTGGGCGGACGCTCTAACCACTACACCACGGAGGCGGTCTGATCTTCAGTAACCCATGCTTGTCGAAATAGGCGACTAACGGGATCGGGTGGTCAGACTCGCTGACTTGGTTGACACATGTCATCGTATCCCAATTGCGTAAATCAATGCTCATGTTGTTGATTACTGGAAAGTCTAATCCAGACTCGATTATTTACAGACCGCCGCCATACAGCTGGAATATTTCAGAGTGCGGCATAAAACTAAACTCACTCACTCACTGTATTCACTTAATTACTTGCACATGGTAACAACAGTACCATCTTTCCACATCCTTTGTAGGTTGACATGTTGTCCCCAGCTGGGATTCAAACCACAGACTTACCCTCCATAGGGCAGAAACTGCAGTCTCTGAGGGGCTCAGCAGATGACATCTCCCTGCTCATAAATGTTCATTGACATTTCCATTCTCAGTAAATATTTTGTCCTGCAGACTCGTTTATTTACAGATTTCTGTGATATAGTTAGAATACTGTTGACTGCAGCATTAATTAGCATTCCCGCACACTGATCAATTTGTGATGAATATCAAATGATTTGTTCTGTCCATACTAAACTGACTATCATACAAATTAAACTATAAGCATTAACATGTGATAAATACTGTAGGGTTTCCAGTAGTAGTCCGGCAACTGAGATCAATCACAACCACAAGCACACTGTGGACATAGGCGACACTATCAGTGAAGTCCAATGGTCAGCTGTTGTATGGTCTGAACAATATGTAACCGCTTCCGTGGTGTAGTGGTTAGAGCGTCCGCCGGGAGAGCGGAAGGTCGCGGGTCCGATCCCCGACCGCGATCATGGTACTTGTTGGTCCCTGCCTGGCGCTCGGCATTAATGGGTACAACAAGGACTGGTCGGCTTGGATTCCGTATAATGTGTCTGAAAGGGGTATTCATGCTTCACTGCGGCATGGTATCTCAGTGGGCTGGCACTATAAAACCAGCTGCACATACACATAAACACGCATGCACGTCGTCATATGAGCGAAATATTCTCAAGCACGACGTAAAAACCCAATTTCACCTCACCTGCCTCACCGGAACAATATGTGCATTAATCCAGTCCGTTATTCAAAGGTCAATCAGTTGATCATCAGTTAATCAATCCCATCCAGTCAGCACATCTTGTTTCTCAACTCTGTGATCAATATTAATCACTTTTTTCCTGTTTACCAAATGATGCATATTGAACCATTTTCCATCAATTTCATAGATACCAGTCATGAGGAATTGCAGGACTCCTTGAAATTCCCAGTCCAAACCATGGTCAAGATTTTTAAAGTAATCTCAGGGCTAAGATTACCTATTTGGTTAAATTGCTTTTTTTAAACAGTTAACTGCAGTTAACTGACATGGCCAACATTTGAAATTATCACAGAGCAAAGAATTTGTTAGAACATAAATCTGAACACAGTCTCAGAGTATCTTTCATATCGGCCTCATCCAAGATGGCAGTATGATAGATGATGATGATGATGATGATGATGATGATGATGATGATGATGATGATGATGATGATGATGATGATGATGATGATGATAGGTTGATTAGAAAATACATGAATACTAGAACATGACTATGCCCAGACAGCGAAACAGAATTCATCATCTCAATACGCTCGATGGTACCAAACTTTTTTCACGCTATTCAATTCAATATGCGATATGTTTAAAATATTTTCCTAAATGTATCTTATCATAAAGACTTATATTTTGTCTTTGTATGTCAGTTATTTGGATTTATCTCATCTAAGATCATTTCAAAAACCTAGACCATGGAAACCAGAAACAGGAAAGAGCTGAGAACCATTTTTCTCTCGTAATCTGAATTAGATACGTCTTCATGTACTGGGTAATATTCCTTGTTGACATTCGATAAGCACGGTAACAATCATTTTCTGCCGTTTAAGATCCCAGGAACCAATCACCGGAGTGTCAGAGTCACACAATGTCTACTTTTCTCCCAAGAGTCCACTGTCTGGAGCGGAGTCTCTGATGAACTTCTGGACCTGTTTAAACTTCGGGGATGCAGCATCCTTCGTCAAAGCTAGCATCATACTCTCACTGGTCGTCAGGAACGCTCCGGCATCTTTCATTCGATCAAATGCAAACATTCTGAAAAACAGAGCGAGTGAGTTAAGTTTTATGCCACTTTTATCAATATTCCAACAATATTCTGAGAGTCACCAGAAATGGGTTACACATATTGTGAGAATCAACCCCAGGTCTTCGGTGTGATGAGCAAACACTTTGTTTTCTTCTATTCTCTTATTCAGTATTAGGGGCCCTAGACCCATGGTACAAACAATATACAATACAATATTGGTGGAAAAGCTGTACGGAATATGTAATAAATATTACACAAGATTCCATAACATAGATTGCATGATACATTTTCATTTAGAAAGTGGCAGATCATCAAACAATGATGAACAGTGATGAATGTGGGTTATCTCCCTTCCATCAGGTGTTGAGGTACTTCTGCCTCACAGTTGAGGCCTTGAAAATATATTCTGCTGATGAGGACTGATTTCCACTTTTCACTATATGCATAAAATTCTTTTCATTGGAGAGATAACGCGGTATGTTCAATAGCTGAGCTCTAAGATCATGACATTGTGAACAAATAATAAGGAAGGTACTTTAATTACAGTCTGTTTGATTTCATTTGAGACCGATGAATTACTCACAAACACAAAATTTAATAATTGCAACAAAACCAAATTTTGCAGTCACATGAAATCGACAGACCAACTCTGATGATTTGTCTCATAATTTTGGACACCCAAATGGAAAGTTGTTTAACAAACGATCATTATTTTGTTGTCACTTTTTGCTATTTCCTACAAGGGGGGGACCACTTGCTGGTAGAACAGCCAGGTGTGCGAGTTGTACCTGTGAGATTAAAATTTCACTGCATACACTTGTTGATTACCTGGCTGTTCTACAAGCAAGTGGTACCCCTCGAAAAAACGAAAAGCGAAAAGTGACAACAAAATAATGAGAGATTGTAATATCAATGTGAGATAAATTCTCACAGAGGCTGAATCAGATTAGAATATGCAGACACACAATATCACATGCCATAGCTTATATTACACAGAAACTTCAGGGATTGAATTAATCCAGAGCTACAGATAACTTTTGGGTCATTGAGTTACTTACTCGCTTGTGTTCATCTCAATTGGGTATCCTAATGAGTAACTAAATAAATTGTACCCACCTCACTCAAACTCAATTGGGTATTTTGCCTTTTTCAAAAAATTGTGAAAATATAGCAGAGCTCCAGATAAGATTTAGCTTTTTTGGAGTGGGTATTATGAATGTTTTGAGTGGGTATTTCATTTTCCGTTACCCACTGCTTTCAAATATGTGCGTATTTCAGTCATTTTACTCACCTAAGTATTATGTCATTGAGTAAGTTTACTAAGCAGGTATGTTCTGCCTTATGTCATCCCTAATCAAAACCAACTTAAATATAATGGAAATGATTTCATAAAAAATCACTCATCTTATACTGTCAGTAGAACACTTGTCCTATACTAACAGTACAACTTGATAGCAATTGATGTCTTTTTCATTACGCGAGCGATTTTTATAAATATATTCCGTACGTATTTGTTTAAAACTTTTTGGTATCTAACATTTTAAATGCTGTAAGTGGTACGCAACAATTATTTTTCAATGCGTAATTGGAAATTTTATATGCATATTTTACCCGGATACGCAGCTCATCTGGGCCTCTGATATAGTTAAGTTTTAAGGTTGGTTTATGTGTTTGTTATTTATATTTGATCTGTAATATGACAAACAATAAGAATGACTGCAAATTGCACAGTTCAGGTGCTGAAATAAATCTCTCATTATACCTCAGTTATTTTATCTATTTGTTTGTACGCATGTAAGATCAAATTTATTGAGTATTTACAAAAATTCAAGCGTACTTGTACGACAATAGACTTAATAGGTATTAAGTTCTAACATAAATATCAGCATAATTTACACAGATACGCAGCTTATCTGTACCTTGGAATAGTGCCTAATTTGCATGTCAAGGCACAGTATACATTGAAATAGAACAGTTGAAATATTTACACAATCATACAATTATACTCATGGTTCATATAATAGAAATTGCAAAACATTTGACTACTTCAAATTATTCAAGTTATTTTTTCACACAATCCAACTATTTATCATGACACTCTCATATCCCTTTTAATGCTAGTGCATGTGACAGAAAATCCTGTTTTGGATGACAACATACAAGATCATATGAACATCATAATTCTCCTACCAGTCTACCATACTTCTTGAGTGAGTGAGTGAGTTTAGTTTTACGCCACACTCAGCAATATTCCAGCTATATGGCGGCAGTCTGTATATAATCAAGTCTGGACCAGACAATCCAGTGATCAACAGCATGAGCATCAATCTGCGCAATTGGGAACCGATGACATGTGTCAACCAAGTCAGCGAGCCTGACCACCCGATCCCATTAGTCACTTCTTTCGACAAGCATGGGTTAGTGAAGGCTCATTCTAACCCGGAGCTTCACTGGTAATACTTTTTGAGGGACATGTTTCCACGATCACATGAGCATCATAATAACCCTTCTTGTCCATCATACTTCTCGAGGAACTTGCTTCCATGATCATATGAACATCATAACAAGCATTGTCACTAAGGTGACATAATCCCCATAAAAATTATCAAATCAAACTTATAAAGTAATGAAAGTTTAAGATGAAGTTAAATGTCAACAAAAACATTATCTTGCTCTTTACTTGTTCAAACACACACATATTTTCAAGACTGACTTTGACCTTGACATGAATGTCATAGTGTATGAAATATGCAAAACTAGTACTAAAGAAATTGCTTATTGAAAAACATTCAAGGGAGGTCTTGAAAGTCTACGAAGAAAATCCAGTGAACCGTTCTTAAAATAATATCTTGCTGACAATTCAGGTTAACATTCTAAAATCTTCATAGTGTCGTCGTGACCCTACAAATTATGTGAAGGTCACCAAAATTGACTGGGTCCTGGGCCTTCCCTAGATGAAGCTTGGTGTCAAATATGAAGAAAATCCACTGAATATTTTTTGCGATATGTTGCTGACAAGCATAACATGTAGTTTAACATGCTGAAATCTTCAAAGTGTCTCTGTGACCTTGAAAATTAAGTGAAGGTCACCAAAATCGAATGGGCCCTGCGCCTTCCCTGGATGAAGCTTGGTGTCAAATATGAAGAAACTCCAGTGAATGGTTCTTGAGGTATCTCGCTGACAAGCATAACATGTAGTTTAATATGGTGAAATCTTCAAAGTGTCTCTGTGATCTGGAAAATTAAGTGAAGGTCACCAAAATCGACTGGGCCCTGCGCCTTCCCTGGATGAAACTTGGTGTCAAATATGAAGAAAATCCAGTGAACGGTTCTTGAGATAGCTTAACATGCAGGTAAAACGTGAAAGTCCCCTTGTGACCTTGAAATGAAGGTCAAGGTCACCAAACCTGACTTGGACCTTTCTTATAGTGTGATGAACCTAGGTACCAAATATGAAAAAACTCTAGTGAACGGTTCGTAAGATATTCCAATTCGTACGTGACGCATGGACAGAGCCTAATATTATATCCCCGGCTTAAACGCCACGGGGGGGATAATAACCCTTCCTGTCAGTCATACTTCTCAAGGGACTTTCATCCATCATCATATGAACATCATAATTCCCCTACCTGTCTACCATACTTCTCGAGGAACATGCATCCACGATCACATGCACTTCATAGTTCCTCTCGAGCAGATCTAGTGTTGTCTGCTGAATACAGGCCTGAGTCTCAATACCACACAGGATGACAGACTTCAGATCTGGAACATGGAAAACAATATTTACTGTTACCATGGTAACCAATTCTTAATGATGCCGTAGCATTTCCCAATACCAAACAAGAACTTACATTAATACCATCATTTCACTAAATGACAACAAATTTTTCTACACGATCTTATCAATCCATCAATAAAACTGATCAGTTACTGTTACGAAAGAAATATGCAGAAAATCTGAAGTATGGACAAAACTTTTAAAACGAAAATAAAAAGGATTATCTTGAATATCTCAAAAACAATAGGTGTAAGTGCAGGTGTAGCCCTTGACCATTATCACTTGACGTTTTAACACGAGGAGTCACAACTAACTATCAGGTTCTGGTGTGAGAATACAGTGAGATCGTCAGACAGGCAACACCGACATAATGACAGCCATATATCTATTACATTAAACTTTGGCCCAGTTTAAAGAGTGCCATACATTAACATTAACTTATGACCAGTTTAGTGCTAAGAGAGCTTCGAAAATCTAGACGATGGGATTCTAAATGCTTCTAGGAACTAAACTTATCTGGGATTCTAAACTTACCTGGGATTTTAAATGTATCTAGGATTCTAAAGTTATCTACAATTACATCACTAATTGAGTCTCACCTGTCCATCAGTTTCTCAGAAAATTACAGGGACAATTATTTTAAGAAAAATGGTCTAAGATACAGTAAGTCAGGATTCGACTTTATCCAAGCTAGGCATATCTGGAGTTATAATTACAAAGCAATATACTCAGTTACAATACAAGTGCTTGTACTGGCAAACAAGGATAACTTGGGCCGGCGCAGAGAACGTGTTTACGACAAGTAGGCAGTGCACGGCAATGAGCAAAAACATTTGGTTTGTTAAAGGTAGAGCAGATGTAGGCTAGTACACGTGCATTGCATGACAATGAAATTGATTCCGTAGCTGCACCTGCCTTGAGCCTTGCTTCACCAATGGCACTACACTTGATCGCGGGCAAACTGGGGCCCCTTCGCGAACAATGGCAAACGCCAGTGGGCAGCACTCATACATGCTAATACGGATCAATTGTCAGGTTGGTGCTCAACTTATCCTTGTTTGCCAGTAGACCTTTGTGGTGGTTTTCAAATTATCATTGGCCAACATTTCAATTTGCTTAGATTCTGCATCTGGACTACGGCAGTTCCTATTTCATAATGTTAAGACAGGAAGGCTCAAACTTCACATGTAAGTTGTTGTTTAAATGATATATTTACATTTTAACAGCTGATGCACTTTCATAGCACTTTATGAGGTTATGTGACCATCAGACTGGGTAGCTGAAAGAGGACTGGACAGAAGAAAATTGCCGAACTGACTTGGTACTGTGGTCACCTGTCCCAGACCTCATACCTCGAATCTTCTTGATGTGTTCCTCAACCTCTGGTATGAGCATGGAGAAGCAGGTTTTGGGGAACACCTTGTGCTGGCTGACATCCAGTTCCGATACCGTGGGCCCCAGGCCTGACAACATACAACAGAAACCGTGAAGATCTGGGTTAGAATTGATCTTCAGTAACCCATGTTTGTGGTAAGAGGAGACTAACGGGATCGGGTGGTCAGGCTCTCTGACTTGGTTGACACATGTCATCATATCCCATTTGTGTAGATCGATATTCATGCTGTTGATCAATGGACTGTCTGGTCCAGACTCTATTATCTCAGGGGTGGAAATAACTTTAAAATTGCTAGTGTCCTCCGGTACAGTGGCACATGTAAAATCACTTGCCCTGATAATTTTTCCACTATACCGTCCGTTTTCTTGTTGATTTTTTAAATAAACAACATAATTAACATTGGAAAGTCAACTGGTACAGTGTGATATACAAATTTGCTTGCCCGACAGAAAAAAACACTGGACTCGGATGTCGGGCAATGGGTTATTTCCACCCCTGTTATCTACCGACCGCCGTCATATATAGCTGGAATATTGCTGAGTGCGGCATAAAACTAAACTCACTCACTCAACATACAACAGTGTCTGACATATAGTCAAGTCTGAGACATTGTAAACCAAAATGTAGCATATGTGTCACAGTTAGCCTGATACCACATTTAACTACTTTCTGAAGGCAATTGTGTATTCATATCTTTGGCAATATGAGCCGTGTCAATTTACACTTATCATAGGCATTCATAAAATATGTAATCTTGACTGCCAGTCGACAGACTTCTGTTTTTCCTTCATTGATGGGCATTTTAGAAGTTGAGTTGATGAAGAATAATGACAATTATTATGGATATACAACTTCTTATATTCTGTGGAGGCGACGTTTCGACATAGATTCTAATTTCGTTGTCAAGCAAGTGATACATGAGTAACAAATTGAGAGAATATATACATGAGTTGTTGTTACAGTAGATAGGGAATGAGTGGTTTTTACAATAAATGAGGTTGATGTACAACGCTTGTATAAGAGATTGAGTAAGTTGATAGGAAGCCAGTAGGGTGACATACAAGGACTGAATTAGAGCTTATACAACTGATAGGAAGCCAGGTGGGTGTTTATACAATGGATGAGGTGAGGTGAAATTGGGTTTAACGTCGTGCTTGAGAATATTTTCGCTCATATGACGACGTATGCAATGGATGGGGTTGATGTACATAGTTTAAGTGAAACAGATAATGTACACAAGAAATATTATTGATTACTTTATCAAGTGATGGTAGGCATAATTGTCATTATTCTTCAGACTTCTGTTTTGTGGAAGCTATGGCGACTGAGTGGGTTTTTGACTGGTGATTAGGTGTCACACTCTGTGAGTGGGTTTGAATCCCAGGTGGGGCTCAACCTAAAAAAATTCTAGAATCTGTAATTTACTGAGAACTTATAATCCCAAGTATACATGTTACATTTAACCACTTTACAAAATGCATTTTGCACACAGAGGCCAGTTGTAGTATACCCTGCCATTTGGCATAATGAAACTCTGCCCAGTCAGTAAGTATACCTCAATCAAATAAAGTTATATACTAAACTATATATTAGTTATAAGGTGGCATATAGTATCATTTTACACTTTTAACAGTAACATACAACATTTGCTGAAACAAATATTCGGACATTTCAATTTGTCAGGTGTAATGCCCAACGCCCTTCAGATATTCAGTGAAAAGTACTAAAATGTGATCACTCGTACAGCTGAGGATACTCCAACCCTAAAAGGGCCCCTCATACAAACCTTTTGGATATTGCTCCGTGACCACGACCGGCATCTCCAGCGTGTTGGCAGCGTTCAGCATTCTGTTTGCTACATTGATAATTTGTGGGAAGTACTGAATAGTAGGCCGGAACTTTTCCTGCATGTCACACAGAAATAATGCCGAGTTTTCTAAGGCAATCTTTCCCAGTCTTCTTGAGGCCATGGTTTTTATATTTTACGGTCAGCGGAGGTCAAGGACGAAAGATACGGCGAAAACGAAAAATGATCTTCGGAAGTGGATTAGTACAAAGTTATCCTCCTTCAATGCATGAATATATATGAGTATTGTAACGGACATACTAATATCTATGCACACAAGATAGTTGGTATTTGTTTATTTCCTTCTGTTATAGACTTTAGACAGATATAAGTACGTGTTTCGTTTTTGGATTTCATGTCTGTCATTCAATACAACTCATTTGCTTATTAAGTTATATAAATAAGTCTTATTTATTTTTACATGGTTTAGAGAACAAACAAATGTTATTTTAATTAAGAGAGGCGGGTCACATTTAAGACACATAAATTTAACAGTAAAAATAAAATTTCTGAACTATTATTTCTCTTCTTTTCTCCTATATAATACTAGCTGTCTTCTATATAGTGTTTCAACATGGCGTCCCCCATGTAACAAGAAAACTTGCACCTTACTCAAATTCATTCCATGGGTTCTTGGTTCCAAGCTCAAATTATCCGACTACTACGAAACTGAACAATACTGTTGCTATATTGCCTTGTATTTTCGAAATATTTTCATTAAAATGTTAGGTGGCGCGGTGCAAATCACCGTCTTTCTAATAGTGTGTTTCGTGTGTCGGTTCAGTTTGGGCACTGAAGTGACATATTCAAAACATAGACACACCGATATTGTCATCATTGGCGGTATGGGTGATTTGTCCAAGAGATATCTCATGCAAGGATTTTATAGTCTCGTAACAAAATATACAACTGAGCACAATTCATTCACCTTCTACCCGACTGGGCGAACAGACCCAGAAAGTACAGAACCAATATTATCCAAAGTACTCGACGAACGACTTACTTGTGAAAAGACTGATGGACCTGCGTGTAAAAAATCCAAAGAGGACTTCATCAATTCAGTCAAATATGCTCAACTGAAAACAGATGAACATTACAAAACCTTTTGTGATGGTATGAAAATAAAATGGGAAAATCTTATGAATGGAAAATTGAATGCCGACATAGAGGTTATATTTTACTTGTCAATTCCATCAAGTGGATACTTATCAGCTGCAAAATATATAAACAATTACTGCCGAACGAACCATAAAAACTGGAAAGTGAAAGTTGTTTTGGAAAAGCCTTTTGGCCTTGATCGCCAGTCTGCTAAAGCAATGGGACTTGAGCTGTCTGATTCATTTAATGAAGAGGAGATTTACAGGGTTGACCATTACCTTGGAAAAACAGTTGTTAGAGAAATCCTAAATTTCAGGTATATCATGTCAAGTATTTATTGCATGTGGATAAAAAATGTGCAGTCTCTGCTGTTTTATGGCATCTATTATGTCAATAATTAAATCTACAACAGACAATCTGTTGTTTGACATCGCAAGAATTGATCTATTGGGATACAATGACTTGCATTAAGCAAATCAACAAGCCTGAACACGTGATCCCTTTAGTTGCCTCATAAGACAACCCAGCGTTACTGAAGGCCAATTATAACTAACCTTATGGGTCCATTATATAAAGTAGTTAGCCCAAAGTCAGTATTGAAAGTATAGAAACTGAGTAAGACGAATGTGTCTAACTATTATACAAGCAGTATGAAAGTAAATATTGGTTTACTAAGGGCTGCAACGATTCCACTATGAGGCGAATATGATACACATCACAAATATTGAGCAACGAATATGTGGTGGCGTGTGGTCCTGTGCACTGAGCGCAGGTCACGAATCAGTTGAAGTTAAGCAACGTCGAGCTCTGACAGTCCTTGGATGGGTGACCATGTTTGACAGCTTGACTCCTGAGAGTTTCTAGGACTTGAGTCCTGCCCCACAACGAAGCACATGTGACACATGTGGTCTCACCTTAGGCAAGTGAGTTTGTTCAAAACTGCCTCTGTTCACACAGCAGAAAATGGGTACCCAGTTGGATAAAGCCATGTGACTATAACCTTCTAGCGCCTAACAGGCAGCTTGGGTTATCCAGGGTAATAATAATCAGGGTGTTAGCCCTTTGAGCATGCTTTGTTGCGTGGAGATTAGCGCATTATAAGACTTCTCATTATTATTATTTATATTGGGTAACGAATACAAAAACAAATCAGCAGTTATTATATTCAATGAAGCAATAACAAAATACATTCTTTGCTGTGTTTTGACCATGATGACAGTGTCTATTCATCAGGACAATGACCAGTGACAATTTACTGTCAAACTAAACAGGTAAGACTGCCTTGGATATGTTAGAGCGTTTGTTCATGACGCCTAAGACCCAGGTTCGATTTCCCACATGGGTATAATATGAGAAGCCCATTCCCAGTGTCCGCCACTGTGATACTGCTGGAATATTGCTAAAAGCGGTGTAAAAGTAAACTTTGGTTTGTTTTCTTTTTTGCCATCTGATTATATTTTCTTAGTTGGGAATGGTGTTTGATTTAAGACCTGTGTATAAGTTCACACAATATCATGTGGACATTCTTCCTACAAAAAGCTACAGGGCCATGACTATACTTTTTAAGGTGACCCTTGATCACTAAGTTTTAGAAAATTAGAAAATTTCCCCAGCAACCTACCGGTATGCTGCATGTAACTTGTAAGAGGCAACCCAATGTGATGAGGTTTGTCATCTCAACCCAATTGCATAGATAATAAATAATAATAATGATGTTATTCATTTGTATAGCGCTATTTATAATGTAGCACTGCTCAGAAGCGCTGAATTATTACCCCAGATAATCCAAGCTGCCTGTGAGATGCTAGAAGGTTAATAGTCACATGACTTATTCCACTGCGTACCCATTTTTTGCTGGGAGAACAAAGGCAATTTTGAACAAACTCACTTGCCTAACGGGAGACCACATGTACCACGTGCTTCGTTGTGGGGCAGGACTGAAGTCCTAGAATCTGTCAAGATAGATAGATACAGAGGTACAGATAAGCTGCGTATCTGCGTAAATTACGCAAATATTTATGCGAAAACTCAATTCCTATTAAGTCTATTGCGTACAAGTACGCTTTAAATTTTGTAAATACTCAATAGATGTGATGTTACATGCGTACACACAAAAGTGTCAAATCTTAGCTTGCGTACCGGTGGATACATACAATAACTGAGGTATTGAGAGGTTCTATTTCAGGACATGAACTTGGCAACTTGCAGTCTCTCTAATCGTTTCTCATATTACAGATCAAATATAAATAACAAACACTAACATTTAAACTTTATTATATTTTAACAATTAATGGAATATGACAAAATACCCAATTGAGTTTGAGTGAGGTTGGTACAATTTATTTGGTTATTCAAAGGAAAATTAGGATACCCAATTGACATGACCACAAGCGAGTACATAACTCAATGACCCAAAACGTTATCTGTAGCTCTGTAGATAGATGCTTGTGATGTCGATCACTGGATTGTCTTGTCTTGGCTCAATCACTATTATCATAAAGATGGTCATGCTTGGTGATTGGCTTGAGAACATGTTTTCGTACCCTGACTTCATGGACGGGGGCGGTGGGGTAGCTCAGTGTTCGCGAATAGTGTTATAGCATCTGCTCATCTGATAGAAGTCTACAAGACCTGGGTTTGATTTTCACAATGACTGGGGTTACAATTATGTGAAGCTGTTTATTTTATCTATTTCTGGTGTTAATAATTTCAATGCCTGAAATGTTATCGAAATGTGTGTTTAATATTGCTGGAATATTGCAGACATCTTAAACTTACAAGCCCAATGTGTAGAACCATAGTTATAGCATCTCATCACCGCCTGGGTTTGATGGGTCAATTGGAAGCCTATTTCTCTAATCCAAATTTGACTAATGTACAGACTATTGCTGTCATACAACCAAGTCCTGTGATATGCAGAAAAACAATACTAATTTGACTATTACAGACTTGTCATACACCAAGTCTGTGGTGCAGAAAAACAACAGTGGTATTATCTTCTTGAACCGCCCGTGGTGTAGCCGGTAAAGGTAGCGGAGTTCGATCCCTGGTTCGACCCGCCGCCATACCAAAAGACGTTAAAATATGGTACTTGTTGGTCCCTGCCTGGCGCTCGGCATTAATGGATACAAGGACTGGTCGGCTCGGAGTCCGTATAATGTGTCTGAGAGGGGTATTCATGCTTCACTGCGGCATGGTATCTCAGTGGGCTAGCACTATAAAACCAGCTTCAGTCTGGGCTAGTACAAGCAGCCGCACATACACATACACGCGCATGCACGTCGTCACATGAGCGAAATATTCTCAAGTATGACGTTAAACCCAATTTCACCTCACCTCACCTATTATCTTCTTGAACATATGTATTTTATCTTTTTATGTATTTCTTTCCATAGGAAACAAAACGACCACATGGAAGCTTTGCTAAACAAGGACCATGTTGAGCAGGTAGAAATATTTATGAAGGAAACGATTGGAGTTCAAGGTAATTGTCTGGACACTACAGAGGTCATGGATCCATTACGTTATTTATTGCTTCCATTTTTGTCTGACTGCTAGAGATCAATGAAGATCTGGGTTAGAATTGATCTTCAGTAACCCATGCTTGTCATAATAGGCGACTAACGGGATCGGGTGGTCAGGCTCGCTGACATGGTTGACACGTCATCGGTATCGGGTGTTCAGGCTCGCTGACATGGTTGACACGTCATCGGTTCCCAATTGCGCGGATCGATGCTCATGATGTTGATCACTGGATTGTCTGGTCCAGACTCGATTATTTACAGACCGCCACCATTTAGCTGAAATATTGCTGAATGCAGCGTAAAACTAAACTCACTCGCTCACTCACTTACTGCTAGATATTCATACAGGTGATGAGCTGTTTTCACAAGTGGGAGCTGAGACAAATACAATTCCCCACATGGGTTCAATATGTGAACCCATTTCTACTTCTAGTGCCCCCCATCACGATATTGCTGGAACATTTCTAAATGCAGCGTAAAACTAAACTTACTCTGTTTTGCAGAATGTTTGCAATTTATCGAAAAGATGCCAGAGCTCTCCTCATATGAGAGATATCTTTTAATATGTTTTGTTGATCACTTCAGGTTAACATATTTCATCATATTCCAGTTGAGCAGATCGATGCTCATGCTGTTGATCACTAGATTGTCTGATCCAGACTCGATTATTTACAGGCCGTCATATAGCTGGAATACTGCCGAGTGAGGCGTAAAACAACAAACCAACCAACCAGCCGCTTCAGGTTATCTAAGTCAATGACACTTGTCTTGAGTCATATAAACTCATTCTGTCAGTGGGGCGGTGGGGTAGTCTAGTGGTTACTAGCTCGTCACGCTGAAGACCTGGGTTCGATTCCCCACATGGGTACAATATGTGGAGCCCATTTCAGGTGTCCCCCTGCCGTGATATTGCTTGAATATTGCTAAAAGCAGCGTAAAACCATACTCACTCACTCACTCATTCACTTTCTGTCAGTCTTACCAGATTTTTATGATTCTTGTTACAATTCCAGGCAGGATTGACTTCTATGATCAGACTGGCGTCATGCGAGATGTCTTCCAGAACCACCTCACAGAACTTCTCACAATCCTTGCCATGGAGATTCCCCAAAATTCATCATCATCCGTCGACATCAAGGTCAACAAACTGAGACTTCTCAAACAGATAGAGCCAGCCAAAATGTCTGCCACTCTTCTTGGTCAGTTCTCCGATTATCTCAAAGATGCCGAAAAGGAACAGGCCGATCTTGAAAAGTCTAAATTTACACCCACATTTGCAGCAGTGATGTTAAAGGTACATTCACCGAGATGGGACGGTGTGCCATTTATTCTTGCTGGTGGAAAGAAGCTTGATGAACGATCAGGTTATGTCAGAGTTGTTTTCAAGAGAAATACTGTCTGTGTTAATAATTGCAGGGACAAGAATTTACAACAACTGATCTTTTACATAGGACATGGTCAGTTGAAGACACCTGCGATCTTAGTGTCCAAATCTATTGGTCAGCCTGTTTGGCCACAAGGGGTCTCTGACCAGTCCTCTGTAACAGTGCCGTCTGAATTATTTGGGCAGAAAAGTGAGGATTTGTTTATTGGAATCCCTCATAAAGACCCTGCTGCCTATACTGTTTTGATAGAAGATTTGTATCTTGGTATTAAGGACAATTTTATTGGGACAAATCATTTGCTGTCGCTTTGGGATATTTGGACTGATGTGAGTTCATTGTCTTCTATACATCCCCCAAAGATTTACAATGCAGGTGACAAAGATGGAAAATTATCCTTTAGAGTGACAAATAACAAACTGGAATATCATGAAAATATTTCTGATTCGGTTACCATGGTAAATGGAGAAGCGCCAATACAAAATGAAACGTTTGGACAGACTCCTTCTTCGTTTCTTGGTAACAAGTTAATCACTACTGATCCGCAGAGGCTTGCTTTCCTTTTAGCTGAAGACATAGCTCACTCGATCCAGAAAACACTAAAGAGGTCATTGTTCTACCATATTGCATTTTCAGGGGGTAAAAGTCCAATTATTCTATTTGAAACCCTGGCACAACACTTTGCCGATATTCCTTGGCGGTATGTACATATTTGGCAAGTAGATGAAAGATGTGTTCCTGCCACGGATAAAGATTCCAATTTTGGTACAATTGAAGAATATCTTTTGAAATATGTGCGCCTACCCTATGTCAATGTTCATCCAATGCCAGTAGAAATAACAGGCAAGTTGTGCAGTGCCAATGATAATGGTTTACAGCTGTATCAAGACTTGATCAAAGATCAAATTAGTGATAAAAGATTTGACTACATTGTTTTAGGCCTCGGCGCTGATGGTCACACAGCGTCTCTTTTCCCAAATGACCTGAGCCTGAGTGCGATAAGGCAGTTTACGGCTTATGCATATGGGCCGGAAGATTCTTTTGAAACTCAGAGGATGACTCTAACATTACCAGTCATCAACAAGGCTAAACAGATATCGGTATTTGTGACTGGGAAAGGGAAGCGGCAAATTTTGAAACAGTTAGAGGTTGCTGAAGGTTCCAAGGTTGAGTATCCCATCCTTGGAGTGAAACCAGATGTAGGAAATGTTACGTGGTTTATTGATTCAGAGGCACTGATCGATGGATAGAAATCAGTAGCTAAAGTACTGTCGGAAATAGAAAAAAACTGTTTTTAGGCTGTTAATCTGTATCCCTAAAATTTACAGAACTGCAAATAGCATATGTTGAAATAATCCACTTTGGCCTAACTTGGCATGCAGTAATAGGATATCCAGAAAGCATGTTTACTCTTAAACTCGGGCAAAACTTTGAAAACAATAGATCAGACTATAGATGGCAGTTAGGTCGCTCAGCCAGGTATGACTACTGACCATCGACTCACCTGGCATGAAATGCATGTGCTGCCTACAGGCACAAGGGGTCATCTCAAAGATATTTTATGCTTTTTCATGTGTGTTGACTATGCCTCATCTATTGATTAACATCTTACGTGTCTTTCTTTCATAAAGTTATATGTGAGATATGTAAAAGAGTATGATACCTGATAACCATAGAAATGCATCGTATTAAATGCCTCAAAATATATAGGTGGCATGACCACCCGATCGCGAAGATTGACAGGACTGGATATTATTTGTAAATTGTTATGACATACCTTGTACTTCCCCAGTATAATTGCGCTAAAGGATTATCTTATCTTAGCTGATATCTCTATCCCCAAGCCCGACCTCAACGATCATCTGCGACACCCGTCCAGGTTTTGCTTTTGAGATGAACCCTCCTATCTGTTTCTTTTTATAGTGACAGTGAGACTCCATGGTAGCTACATCCTTAACAGTTTCAGCATGAAACTTATTATTTTTTACACCAGCATCATTTATAATGCAGCTACATCTAATTTCAAATTGGGCATTTAAACAGTGTCATTTGTAATACAATATCGTCACACACTAATTTGCATAAAGCCATGGTCTGTTCCAAATAAACCGCATTGCTCATTTCTGCACTAACCTATCCTCAGTAAAGTTCTTTTTCTACGTTTCCTATGTCCCTACCACTGAGATTGTAGTTAGGCCGAACTTAGTTTAACAAATATTTCACACTTGCACATATCAACTACATATATTGTATAGGTAAATGAGAAAATGCAGTTTTTTTCTATTTCCGACAGTACTTTAGTATTAGAAGAATGCATTTGGGTTTCCCATAGAGTTGTCTCCCTTTGATTGTGTCTACGGCTTTGGGAAAAGCAACTTTGAGATGCATTTAAATTTAAATTATTCACTGGTACCATCCTGCTGATAAATTATATGTTTTGCCTTTGATGTACATATGAAGTGAATCTTGTAGGCTTGTTATTGTTTGTTTCTTGTTTTGTTATTAAACATCATGGGATTTTTCTAATATCTTATGAGCTTGTTGATTTATACCTCTTGTGATTTGGTACATTTCATGTTTAATAGAAATGTATATATTTTCATTATGGTGATTTTATTGTATTCTTTACATGTCAACAAGGCTGTTTTGTCTTTGAAATCCAGGTTAATTGTTAAGCTCAAAAGGTAGAACTGGCTGTCGTTATTGATCATAGAGAGTAACAATTGTTCACTAAATATGGATCGATTATCAATAAACATCGGAGAAGTAAAAAAAAATGCCCCCACAAAGTCTGAAAGAAATGAATATATTTTACATCACTTGTTTATGCATGGATTACTAACAAAACAGCATCCTGAACATAATCTAGAAGCAGCGCATGAATAAAGACCAAACTTTTTATTTTGTGCGACTAAATTAAAACTTTTTCCAGCACAAAAGTTACTCTATTACATTATAGATAACACAATTTTCATATTGATCATCATTAATGATTTTTCCTGTCGACGATATTTATGATTATCGATCATTTTAGCCAGCTTTATCAAAGGCAGTGAAGTACTTGAGATACTATGGCATTTGTAACCTCAAGTTCAAGGACTCCACGTTAAAGGTGTTGTTCATGAGAACTCAAAACCATTACATGTTTGTCTGTCAGTTTAGTTCTCTATGATCTAGTGGTCTAATAGAATAGACTGCTCATAGATGGTTGATTGTTCAAAACGAAGGCTGGAGACAAATGGGTTTAGGACATTTTCATGTTTATGTCAGGTTTTGAAATGGCATTCCGTTATATCATCACTATATTTGGACCCTTGAAGATCCGGGTTAGAATTGATCTTCAGTTACCCTTGTTTGTCGTAAGAGGAGCTTAATGGGAGCGGGTGGTCAGGCTCGCTGACTTGGTTGACACATGTCAATCCCAATTGCATAGATTTATGTGCATGCTGTTGATCACTGGATTGTCTGGTCCTGACTTGATTATTTACAGACTGCCGCCATATAACTGGAATATTGCTGAGTGCGGCATAAAACTAAACTCACTCACTCACTCTCACTCATTTGATATTTTGGATGTCAACCTATGTTTGACTATTGAAAATGCAGAAAAGCAACCAATCTGAAAACATTGCTTCGAACTTGCCTCCTGTATTAAACCGACACACTTAGACACAGAACCAACTGTTCAGTGAGCTATTGTGACATTCATTGAGATCATATTGTGTGATACAGATGCTGTTATACCTATGTGTTCAGTTGTATTCATTGTACTAGTACAATAGCCTGTGTTTCTGTGTATGTCCTGAGAGTGGTCACATCGAAAGACTTGATGACATTGGTCAGTGCTCATGTTTGCATAATTAAGATTCAGCATCTGGTATTACAGTGTTTAACCAAGAGTAATGTTTTTATAGGGTAAAAATGTGATATTCTTGAAATGTCCACAACAAAGATGCATAATAACTTCTTGTAAATTTCTTGGAACACAGTTTTAGGTTTACAATCACAAAGAGCAATACAATTTGTAAAGTGAATGGCAGCCGCTGTAAGTAACAGGCCCTGTAATATATGTCAGTGTACTCACAAGTTTCCAGAATTTTGTCACTATTTGATGTCAGATACTTTTGCTCTGGAATCAGGAAAAGTGTTGGAAACTTTCAGGAGTCTGGTGTTTCAAACAGTTATCCCATCAGTGCTACACAAGTAAATAAAATGTTGTAGGCGGTCTACTAAGGGGTACATGTGGAAACTTCTTGAATGATCAAATATTGTATGGTTGTTTACAACAAAGGGAGGTAACCTATAGGGCTTCAACGAGTCCATTTTCTTGGACTCGAGTACTCGAGGGGTGAGACTCGACTCAGACCCGAGTACTCGAAATTCATACCTTTCAAGCAAACAATAGCCTAACTTGCATGACATGTGTTCCGATCCAAAAGTGAACACTTACTTCATTCCAACTTTATATCGTTATGTGACTAACATTTCCCATTGGTCAGAATCAGTATTTGGATGTTTACTTGACACTTGTTTTTTTCATCGTACTTCTTGTACTGCATGCAAAACGCAGTGATAAACCGCACAGGCAGCATTTGGTTATTTTTCTCTTTTCTCTATCCAGATCAAGATGCGGCCATACATTTGATTTTTTTTATCTTTCTCCATGTCTATTAATTGTCAAGATAGTTACCTATCATTTTAAGAAGTGAAATCTCAAACGATGTATAATATTTACTCTCATCTGCAGACTTGTAACAACTAATACCATACAGCCACACCGTGTGAGGAGTAAACTATTTAATATAGGTGTTAATAAAAAACATTATCAGATGGGTTAAAGAATTCAGGGTACATAGAACTGAGTATGTCAGTGTAAATGGATATCAATCTTCTTTTCTCTCAACCTCTACTGCAGAACCAAATGGCTGTGTTCCTTCATCCGTACTCTTCGTTTTGTATACCAATGACTGTTACTTGTCAATATATGACGTGTTTACTGTGAAATTCGCAGATGACGCCACTGTACTGGCCTAATTTTCGATTCTGAACATTGTTATCGTCAAGGCATTGACAAAACCTTAATGACAGTTTTTTATCAAACCTTTATTCAAAGTGTGTTGACCTACAATTTTCTATGTTGGTATGGGGGTCTGCCTCATTGCAACAAAAACAAGCTTTTCAAAATTGTTAATACTGCTTGCAAAATTTCTGGGGTGTCTTTCAAGTATATTCCCTTTATCTATGAGCGCCAGATTGTCACAAAGGCAACTAAAATTAGATTTGATAGTTGACATATTTGATCTCACCATTTTGAACTACTTCCTTCTGGACGCTGCTGTCGACTACCTTCCCTCAAAACAGAGCTCGACAGTCTTTCATACCATCAAGTATTCGTGAATGCAACAAATATTTTGAATCACCATCACGTGATTACAACTAGAATTATTCAGCCTCTTTACCTATGTGGTTAATTGAATTATATCATGTCAGTTTTATTGTGTAAATAGCATTCGTTTTGTGCATGTAATTATTGTGTATATTTTTGTGAACTGTGTATAAATTCATATTGAGACAGTTGGATGTATAAGAATTTCCTCCGGGATAATAAAGCTATATCTTATCTTAATATTAGACGTTAACGGCCGCTCATGCTAAGCACATGGCAGACAGTCTGTCAACGTCAATAATTCGAGTTATCTCCCCTTTTCGAGTCCTCGAGTCCTTGAAAATGGACTCGAGTCCAGCTAAACCCGACTCGTCCTCGAGTACTCGAGTACCCGTGGAAGCCCTAGTAACCTAAGCGCAGACTTCCAGTGCAGATGGATCATGACAAGTTTGATAAGTTACAAGTGGTTGAATCATCTGCTGCCCTTCCAATTACCAGGAATATATTTATCACTACATGACAATACAAGTAGACCATTGCTGACATGTGCTGTTAAACAGCATTAACACCTAATCTGTTTCATAGATGAAAAGATGTGGTATTGTCAAATTTGTTTGTGTAACACATGAATATTGGCATTAGAACTGATCTTCAGCAAAAGTCTTTGATTGTGATGTCGTTCACTGGATTGTCTGGTCCAGATTTGATTATTTATGGACTGCCATCACTGAGCTGGAAAATTGCTCATTATGGTTTTAAACAACAGACAAATATTGTTTTATTGTATTTTTCTTGAAAATGTTTAACGGTGTGATCTCATCATATCTGAGTGTCTAATAATCAGAGATTTGTGCATATCGATTGTGAGTACATTGTGATTCATGTTTTAAGAGACCATATTAACTGTATATCTTTTGAAGTATTGACAATGATAACATCCCTGATTACCCGTGAAGGTCCGGGTTAGAATATTGATCTTCAGTAACCCACGCTTGTCGTAAGAGGCAACTAACGGGATTGGGTGGTCAGGTTTGCTGACTTGGTTGACAAATGTCATCGGTTCCCAATTACGCAGATCGATGCTCATGCTGTTGATCACTGGATTGTCTGGTCCAGACTGGATTATTTACAGACCACCGCCATATAGCTGG